TTCTTCAAACATTGAGCTTGGGCCAGTGATCCAACAGTTGGCTTACAAGTACACAATCCCTACACATGACGGAAAAAGAATATTTGAAGATGCTTTGAGACATTTCAGCAACACGATAATAATCGTTGCATTTGACACAGCGCCTGATCACACCGTTGGGACGTCTCAAAGCGCTTCGCGGAATACACTGCAAAGTGAAAGTGACTGTATATTTGGTGGGTGAAACGTGGCAGCCAATTGCGTCCAGCCTGTTGTCGGGGTGGAGGTGAGGGGGGGGGTTAAGATATCCTTCGAAGTTTTGCACATGTCGATGTAAAGTTAAGCGCCCTGTGTTCCACTTGGCAGGTGTTCGCGGGGGGGATCAGCGCGTGTGTTCAGGCGGGGGGGGCTCAGCGCGCGTATTTGGGGGGGGGGTCAGCACGCGTGTTCAGGGGTGGGGGTGAGCGCCCGTGTTCGGGGGGGTGGTCAGCGCGCGTTCATAGGGGGGGTCAGCGCGCGTGTTCGAGGGGGGGGGGGGGGGGGAGTCAGCACGCATGTTTGGAGGGGGTTGGTCAGTGCATGTGTTCGGGAGGGGGTCAGCGCGTGTGTTCGGGAGGGGTCTGCGCGTGTGTTCGGGAGGGGGTCAGTGCATGTGTTCGGGAGGGGGTCAGCGCGTGTGTTCGGGAGGGGGTCAGTGCGTGTGTTCGGGAGGGGTCAGCGCGTGTGTTCGGGAGGGGTCTGCGCGTGTGTTCGGGAGGGGTCTGCGCGTGTGTTCGGGAGGGGTCTGCGCGTGTGTTCAGGAGGGGGTCTGCGTGTGTGTTCGGGAGGGGGTCTGCGCGTGTGTTCGGGAGGGGCTGCGCGTGTGTTCGGGAGGGGTCAGCGCGTGTGTTCGGGAGGGGTCAGCGCGTGTGTTCGGGAGGGGGTCTGCGCGTGTGTTCGGGAGGGGTCTGCGCGTGTGTTCGGGAGGGGTCTGCGCGTGTGTTCGGGAGGGGGTCTGCGCGTGTGTTCGGGAGGGGGTCTGCGCGTGTGTTCGGGAGGGGGTCAGCGCGTGTGTTCGGGAGGGGGTCTGCGCGTGTGTTCGGGAGGGGGTCTGCGCGTGTGTTCGGGAGGGGGTCTGCGTGTGTGTTCGGGAGGGGGTCTGCACGTGTGTTCGGGAGGGGGTCTGCGTGTGTGTTGGGGGGGGTCAGCACGTGTGTTCGGGGAGTTAGTGCGTGTGTTCGGGGTGGGGGATAGCGCGCATGGTCGGGGGAAGGGGGGTCAGCGAGCGTGTTCGGGGGGGTCAACGCGCGTGTTTGGAGGAGGTTGGTCAGCGCGTGTGTTCGGGAGGGGGTCAGCGCGTGTGTTTGGGAGGGTGCCTGCGCATGTGTTCGGGATGGGGTCTGCACGTGTGTTCGGGGGAGGGGTCAGTGTGTGTGTTCAGGGGCGGGTCAGTGTGTGTGTTCGGGGGCGGGTCAGTGTGTGTGTGGATGTTGGGGGGGGGGGTCAGTGTGTGGGGGGGGGGTCAGTGTGTGTGTTCGGGGGGGTCAGTGTGTGTGTGGATGTTGGGGGGGGTCAGTGTGTGGGGGGGGGGGTCAGTGTGTGTGTTCGGGGGCGGTCAGTGTGTGTGTTCGGGGGCGGGTCAGTGTGTGTGTTCGGAGGGGGTCAGTGTGGATGTTGGGGGGGGTCAGTGTGTGTGTGTGTGTGGGGGGGGGCAGTGTGGGGGGGGTCAGTGTGTGCGTGTGGGGGGGGTCAGTGTGGGGGGTGGTCAGTGTGTGGGGGGGTCAGTGTGTTTGTGGGGGGGGTCAGTGTGTGTGTGTGGGGGTCAGTGTGTGTGTGGGGCGGGGTCAGTGTGGAGGGGGGGTCAGTGTGTGTGTGTGGGGGGTCAGTGTGTGTGTGTGTGTGTGGGTGGGGGGGTGTCAGTGTGGTGTGTGTGTGGGGGGGGGGTCAGTGTGTGTGTGTGGGGGGGCAGTGTGGGGGGGGGGGGTCAGTGTGTTCGGGGGCGGGTCAGTGTGTGTGTTCGGAGGGGGTCAGTGTGGATGTTGGGGGGGGTCAGTGTGTGTGTGTGTGTGTGTGGGGGGGGCAGTGTGGGGGAGGCAGTGTGTGTGTGTGGGGGGGGGTCAGTGTGTGGGGTGGTCAGTGTGTGGGGGGGTCAGTGTGTGTGTGGGGGGGGGTCAGTGTGTGTGTGTGGTGGGGGGGTCAGTGTGTGTGTGGGGCGGGGTCAGTGTGGAGGGGGGTCAGTGTGTGTGTGTGTGTGTGAAATAATCCTTGCAATTGATGTAGCGCCTTATCACGTCAATGAGACATCTCAAAGTGCCTCACAGAATATATTGTAAAGTTGTAGAATATATTCAGCGCCTTGGGACGTCCTCCCAACGTGAAAGGCGCTATACAGATGTAATTTTGTTGTTGTTGTTGTAAAGTGTAGTCACTGTGTATTTTGTGGATGAAATGTGGCAGCCAATTGCGCACAGCAGTGTCCCACAAACAGTCATGGATTGAGTGACAAACTATTATTATCAGTTTTAAGTGCGTATCAGATGTACACTATCTGTTTCACACCTGCTTCAGCAGACATCCTTGTTTTACAATCACTCCTCGGAACTCCTCCTTCAAAATATCATCGTCTTCACTCGAATTTCCTTCGCTGAAAAAGCCACTGTCAGCCTGGCAGAGAGGGAGAGAGACAGAGGAAACAATGCACAGTAATCAGACAGTGACATCTGCCTTCCCGCAGTGATGAAACCACAGAACGTCTCAAACTGACCTTAGTTACATAACCATCAAGAGGCAGCAGCAGGAAGTGCTATACTCTCGCTTTTGAGTAGAGCAGTGAAGAAACAGCATCTTCAGCTCCATAATGAGCACCAACTCTGTTGTACTGCACTCCCTGCAATTCAGATTTAAACTGGAAGTACCAGTTTGCAACTTCTGTAAACTGTGCTTTCGGAACGGAAAATCAAAAATAAAAGATTGTGTTACCCCCCACCCACCTCTACCCCACCACCCCCCAACATGTGTTAGGATTTACAGTGGTGATCCGCAGCCTGGGTTATCTGCTGCGAGATACTGGCCAAAACAGTCGCCACTCAATCCACGACTGTTTGTGGACTGTGCGCAATTGGCTGCTACGTTTCGCCCGCAAAATACACGGTCAATTCACTTTACCGTATATTCTGTGAAGCGTTTTGAGACGTCTCGAGTAACAACAACAATAACAAGATCACATTTGTGTAGCACCTTTCATGTCGGGAGGACGTCCCAAGATGTGGGGTAAGGCATTCTGTCAAATGCAAGGCTTATTCTTCTTATTCTTCTTCTTCTTATTATTATAGCGCTTACAGAGCTTTAAACGAACGATGTGGATAAGAGCAACATTTGAAAAAGCGACTGATTGATAAGGCAACAGTTTAGGTGCTAGTTAAACAGTGATTTAGATATAAGTTAAACAGCGATGAAACAACGGTACTTTGTTTGCTGGCTATTTTATTGAACTGTATCATTTTGAGTTCACGGTTTATGGGGTTCACCGTTTTGCGGATTACCATTTTAGTGCTTGTGATTAGGGGGTTCACATTTTGGAGGTCCACTGTTTTTGGTGGGGTGCCTTTTTGGAGTTCAGTTTTTGGGGATTCAGGTTTGTGGGATTTCACTTTTGGGAGGTTCGACATTTTGGGGGTTCGATGTTCTTTGGGGTAGCCATTTTGTGGGGTTCAACGTTTGCCTGCCATGCAACTTCATGCCTGCCCTCAGCTGGATTTGTTTTGGACGGTATCTCAGAGAGATAATCAGGACATGGATCACTAGGGCTCCACTGTAAATACAAAAGCGCAGAGCTTCGAAAGTGCGAGCCCAGCACTTAGAACATGAAAATTGCTGGATGATAGAAGACCAAGGTCCATCCAGGTTCGCCTCCCACCATCCTGCATTCTCATGCACATGTTGTGTCCCAAATTACACCTGAACAGGCAGACGGGACCTCGGTTTACTCTTCGCTACTTACAAAATAATAATAGGCGTCAGCCTCGTCGGCAAAACAACTCTCAGCCACTTGTTCCGCGACCTCCTTGGCTCTGTCCTCAGCTGGCTGCAGGTAGCCCTCGCACACCAGGGCAGCTGCCAGCAGAACTCCCTCACGGCGATTCCTCACTGACTTAGACGACAATAGCCAGTCAATCACGCAGATGCCTGCAACAACAACAACAAAGAAATGATAATAAATATCCTTGCATTTGGTGTAGTGTCGAGACCCAAGTAGTAGAGGAGGGTCGAAGAGGAAGGTGTTGAGGCAGGCCTTGAAGGAGACAAGGGAGCGATCGAGGCAAATGGACTGTGGGATGAAGTTCCATTTGATGTAGCATCTTATTACATAGTTGCAATAGTGCCATGGGATCTTTAACGACCACTTGAACAGGAACAGATGAGACCTCAGTTTAACATGTCATCTGAAGAGTATTACCTCTAACAATGCAAAACCCCCCCTCAGCACTGCATTGGAGTGTCAGTTTAGACCATATAATTCCAAGCTTGAACCCATAACCTTGACTCAGAGGCAAGCGTGCTACCAGGCTGACACACAAGGAAAGATCATCGAAAGATGCTCAAACCCTTATTTTGCAACACTGCCCCTAAGTTCAACCTCTGACTCATAGAATCACAGAAATTTACAGCGCAGAAAGAGGCCATTCAGCCCGCCTTGTCTGCACCGGCTCTCAGAGGAAAGCTATTCATTCTGTACCATCACTCTGCCTTATCCCCATACTCCCTCACACCTCTATCTGATTCTATTGTTATTTTGTTACTCTCATTAATATTTTGATACGTGTAATATAATAGAGCACTTCAACACGTTAAAATGGCATAAAACGCTTCACATGATGCGTTGGCTTGAAGTCCGCACTTCCACACTCTCAGCTCATGTGCAAACCTTATCCATCACCTTGGCATATCCTCCCAATGTGAAAATGGGTGCTTATATAAATCGAAATGCAAGTGTAATTACTGTAGCTTTATAGTTATATTCCAGCAGCAACAAAAACAGAAATCAGGTGAATAGCCAAATTCATAAGAACATAAGAATTGCTGGAAGAAAGAAAACCAAAGTCTATTCAGTTCATCTCCCACTACCTTGGCAGTCGCATGGACATGTCATGTCCCAAACTATATTCTGTATCTCAAGATATTATTTCCTAAAAGAAATCTATCTAATTTGCTTTAGGAAGAATCAACATTTTCTGTTTCCACCGTCTTCCTAGGCAGCCTATTCCATCCATTTACTTCTTGCTCACTGAAACAGTGTTTTCGCAGATTTGTTTTGAATTTTTCCCTTTCAATCTTTGTTCAGAAAACAAATTATATCCTGTGGGAGTGTGTGGGGGAGGGCGTGGATGGACACAGTGAGAACATTCGAGGGTGGGGGGTGTCAGCCGGGTGTCTGACACATGCGAAAACCCATCACCTTGCTTAAGCGTATCCAAACCAAGCTGCGAATTCCATGCATCCCATCTATATATGGAAATCCCAGAGATAGATTATTGGAATGGAATGTGCTCTCTCTCCTTGGAGGGACCCATCTTCCTTACAACACCAACAACCACAACAACTTTCATTTGTATAACGACCTTCACGTGGGGTAGCGTCCTGGAGCACTTAGCTATATTCCGGAAAGTATTAGGTGCAGGTTGGAAAGAGCCAAGGCTTGGGGATCCCAGCGTGTGCGTTGGGTAACTGTGGAGTCTAACCAGCTAAAACCACATAGCTTGCCATCAATATCACTATCTGTCGAGCTTTCCCGCTGCTTGTCCAGCAAGGACCACCCTACCCATTAGGGCTTTGGATTTCAGGGTTAACAGGAGCTGAGTGGGATGATTCCCTGACCCCAGTGACTGGTCTGCCCTTCGAGGTCCTGCCGAAGGGTTGGAGTGGGTAGGATGTCTGAACTTCATATTCACCTGTGAAACAATGATTGAAGGTTTTTTTTTCCTTTTGCAATTTCATTTCCTTCACGCCAGTATCCAAGTGCTTCATAGAGAGGTATAAAGTACTAAAATCAAAACAAAGGGGAGTGAATATCTAACACAGGACCCACAATGTAATCACCCGCACTTGTTCAATTATACTGGAGAAAAAGAACATTTTATGACATTTCTTTGGCACTTTATTGCACTGGAAATTGAGGGAGATCTTCATGTGTAGGTGGCGTACACATGTGAAACACTTAGTCTGGTTTGGATAATCTTAAGCATGGTGATGGGTCATACGTGACAGACACCCGGCTGACCAAACAAAAATCATGCTTGGAATGTCTCAAAGTGATTCACAGTGATTGCTGTCAAGTGTAAAACAACTTTATTTTTGATCAGCCGGATGTCTGATACATGCGGAAACCCATCACCGTGCTTAAGAGAATCCAAACCAAACTGAGAATTCCATACATCCCACCGACACATGGAAATTCCAGAGATATTTATTGTAATGGAATGCGTACTCTCTCCTTAGGGAGAGGGGGGTGGGGGGGATACATTCTGCTTCCTAATTTTGGAAAGTATTAGGTACAGGATTGCAGTCAAGGCTTGGGGACCCCAGAGTGTAACTGCTGGAGTCTAACCAACTAAGCTATTCCAATAAGCTGTTCAGGCATAGCTTGCTATTGATATTGCTATCTGACAAGCTTTCCCACTTCTTCTCCAGCTAGGACCACCAGTTAGGGCTTTGGCTTCCAGGGGTTGTCCAGTGGCTGTGAGCAAACAAGCCAGCCATTTGCACCAACAAGGTCCAGCCATTTGCACCAACAAACAGCTATTAGGTGCATGCTTTATTGATCTGCGGGATATTTACGAAATGCAATAGTAATCTCTGCACCTAATACAGCTCCTACAATGTTAAAAGGGAATTGCTGTTAGTGATTGTGTACTTTGCAGGCAAACATTGCAGTCAATTTGCTCATAGCAATGTCCCACAAATAGCCGTGAAGTAAATGACCAATTTAGCTGCAGGTGTGTTGGCTGGGGCAGACTAGGAAAATGTCCCCTCTCCTTTTGAACAGTGCCATGATATCTTTAGTATCCATCTGAACAGGTATTGCAATGTCTCAGCCAAAGCACGATGCCTATGATAATATAACGCTCCCCTAGCACTGCACTGTGGGGCTTGAACCCATAACCTCCTGGCTCAGAGGTCAGTTATCTGGTGATTTAAGGCAACAACTCAGAGATGATGGCACAATAATCACACTCTCATCTATGGAGTCCCGCAGTGTAGTGTTTAGCACACTGGCCTCACAAGCGAGAGGACCTTGGTTCAATTCCCGGGCGGGGCGAAACCTTAAGCAAATTTCCTCACTCCACACACCTCAGTTAACCTAGCAGTAGGAACCCGGCTGTTAGTTGATTGGTGGATTACTTTCTGGGGGTAATAATCCCTCCTAAAAAATTGTGGTCACTCAATCCATGACTGTTTGTGGGACACTGCTTTGCACAATTGGCTATGCGTTTTGCCCACAAATTACATTGTCTGTCCACTTTACAGTATATTCTGTGAAGGGCTTTGAGACGTCTCAATGACGTGATAAGCCGCTATATCAAATGCAAGGATTATTATTATTATAGCTGCATTGAAAACTCATCTGGAACCTGCTTCACCAGCACATTAACATAAAAATATATTAACACAAAATAAAGGGTAACCGAGTGAAAGTTCTTACCCTAAATTAATATCTGAAGCCAATCTGATGGATTTTCTCGTTGACTTTCGGGCAAATTTCTGGCCCGCTTCAATACATTTTAATGCTCTCTTAATATCCCGCACCCAGGCATCTCGTTCCTCAAGGTGCGAGGCTTGCAGGAAATGGTCTTGATTCTTTGCTGTCCGGAGTTTGAAAACAAACTAGGGGAAAATGGATGTGGCAACAAAGAATTACAGCAGGGCAAAGAACAAACCAATTTATTATTTGGGTAATTGTTAGCGAGCACAGGGGGAAACTCCATTTTCTTTTCAAATAGTGCCATAAGATCTTTCACGTGTACCTGAACAGGCAGACATGACCTCAGATTAACATCTCATTTGAAGGATGGTCTCTCTGACAGGGTAGCACGCTCCACTCCCCCACCCCCAGCTCTGTGCTGGGACGTCAGCCTAGACTGTGTGAGTTCAAAACCCACAACCTTCTGACTCAGAGGCGATAGTGTTACCAACTGAGCTGGGGGGGCACCAGGTTCATTCTGAAGCAGAGCTCCTGCAAAGCGCAACATCTTTTGTAGTTCATTCGATGCAAGAAAGTAGGAAAAGACCTTTCGGTTTCATCTTGCTCACTTTGTTAGTTACAGATCAGACCAAATTCTTCCTCCTCTACCTTATAGCTAATCCAGGAACCCTTCATTCCCTGTAGAATTGTGAATCTGTCTATTTCTTGTTTGAATGTTTTAAACAATTGGCTGCCACGTTTCGCCCACAAAATATACAGTGAATTCACTTTACAGTATATTCTGTGAAGCGGTTTGAGATGTCTCAACATGGTGATAAGGCGTTATATCAAATGCAAAGATTATTATCTATACTAATAAAATGACAATGTCTGTCTGCACTCCAAGAAGGATCTCAATAGCCGATAGATGTAGAGATATCATTTATACCTCAACGGAAAGCTCTTGCACTTGGGAGTGACATGGGCCTATTTGTTTTCGGGTATCTCCTATCGTTCATGACTTATTTTCAGTTTTGAGTTTTTTACTGCAGTTACACCTGGTGGCTGCTAGTCAAAGTGGCGCTGAGGCATCGTGCGTCACTGAGCACCTACTTATGTATGCACGCACTGCATTTACACCTGGTGGCCGTGCCAGCTGACTGTGCTGCTGTGGGATCCTGCGTCATAGAGCATGCACATGGCCAAGCAGCGGGAGCAAAATAAAGAACACAGATTAAGTTAAACTGCGGCAAGAACAACAAAATTATATTATTAAAGTGCTGAGTCCTCCCACTGAGTCCTCCCAAAAGGAATCCTCCCACAGGAGTCCTCCCATATGAGTATAGATAAAGATTAAATGTCTGTCTGTCTGTCTGTCTGACTACTTTCCATATTGGATCCTTTGGTTGTAAGCATGGCTGCAACGGGTACAGCTAGTTTTACTCTAAACACAGAAGTCACTGGGGACGCGCAGTAGGTCAGGCAGCATCCACGAAGAGAGGAAAATGATTTAACGTTTCAGGTCTAAGAACTTTCAACAGAACTGGGGGATGTTGGAATCAACTCCATCCTCACCCGACTCCACTGGCTTCCCATCACACAGAGGATACAGTTCAAGATCCTGGTCCTCACCTTCAAAGCCCTCCATGGCTTTACTCACCCCACCTCTGCGACCTCCTAATCCCCTACCATCCTGCCCGCTCCCTCTGCTCAGCGGGCTTCGGCCTGCTTCATGTCCCCTGCCTCGCCCAACCCACCATTGGCGGGTGGGCCTTCAGCCACTATGCCGCCACCCTCTGGAACTCCATCCCACAGTCCCTTAACCTCGCCCACTCCCTTGCCTCGTTCAAGTCCCATCTCAAGACCCTCCTCTTCAACAGTGCCTTCAATCACCCTCTTTCCCCCCCTGCCCTCCACCCTCCCGATCCTGACCCCCAGCTCGGGTCCGAAACACTGATTGTCCAGTGTCTTGGGACATCCTCCCGATATTGAAAGGCGCTATACAAATGGAATTTTGTTGTTATTGTTGTTGTTGGAAGGGAACAGATTATAAGGGGAAGTAGAGAAGCGGGGGGGAAAGAAAGACATAATGAACATTTTTAGATGGAGGACAGAAGATGATGAGATTAGAGGTGTTGATGGTGCAAGACAAAAGGTAATAGATGGATTATAAAACGAACATATGCATCTAAGAACCAGAGGATGTGTTAATGGTTGCAGAAGAGGGGAAGGGGAGTGTGGGGATGCAAGGTTGAGAGGAGATGGGAACTGCGGTTAGGGTCTGAAGTGGTTGAAATCAATGTTGAGCCTAGAGGGCTGTAAGGTGCCCAGGAAATGGATGAAGTGCTGTTTTTTGAGCTTGTGTTGAGCTTCGATCGAACAGCGTAGGAGGCCCTGGATAAAAAGGTCGCAGTGGGAGTCGGAAGGAGAATTAAAATGGCAAGCGACCGGAAGCTCAGGGTTGCACTTGCGAACAGAATGGAAGTGTTCGGCAAAGCGATCACCATATCTGCTTTTGGTCTCCCCGATGTAGAGGAGACCACGGCGTGTGCAGCGAATACACTGTGCTACGTTGATGGAAGTACATGTAAATCGCTGATTTACCTGGAAGTAGTGTTTGGAGCCCTGGACAGTGGTATGGGAGAAGGTGAACGGGAAGGTGCCAGGGGAGGGAGAGAGAGCAGGTGTTAGTGGCGATGGAGGAGTGGACCAGGGAGTCACAGAGGGAGCGGTCCCTGCGGAATGCTGAGAGGGGAGTAGAGGGAAAAATGTGTTTGGTGGTGAGATTACGCTGGAGGTGGCGGAAATGGTGGAGGATTATCCGTTGAAAATAGAGGTCGGTGGGGTGGAAGGTAGGACTCGCGGCACCCTATCACAGTTCTGGGGGCGGGGATGCAAAGAGGTGAGGGCAAAGGTGTGGGAAATAGAGCAGACACAGTCTGCCACAGTGGAGGGAAATTTCTCGGCTGAGGGAAAAGGAGGACATTTCAGAAGCTCTGGTGTGGAAGGTGATATTGTCAGAGCAGGTGCGGTAGAGGCGGAGAAACTGGAAGAAAAGAATGGAATCCTTACAGAAAGCAGAGTGATAAGAGGTGTATTAGAGGTAGCTGTGGGAGTCGGCAGGTTGTTAGTAAATGTCAGTGGATAGTCTCTGCCCCGAGATGGAGATAGGGAAGTCAAGGAAGGGAAGGGAAGAGTCAGGGATGTGAAGTTAAGGGAGGGGTGGAAGTTGGAAAAAAAATTCATGAAGTTTTCTAGCTCGGGGCGAGAACACAAACACAGTCATCAATATAGCGGAAGAAAAAGTCAGGGACGGGACTTGAGTAGGACTGGACAGAGATTGTTCAATGTATCCTACAAACAGGTAGACATAGCTCGGGCCATGTGGGTTCCCATAGCGACACTTTTGTTCGGAGGAATTGGGTAGAGTTAAAGGAGAAGTTGTTCAATGTGAGAACAAGTTCAGCGAGGCGGAGGGTGTGGTGGTGGATGGAGATTGGTTGGGCCGCTGTTCCAGGAAGAAATGGAGGGCCTGCAGGGGGATGGAGGTGTTCAGGGACTGAACGTCCATTGTAAAAAGGAGACGGTTAGGGACAGAAAAATAGAATTTGTTGAAGTGACAGAGGACGTTAATAATACGGCGGAGGTCATCAATGGGGCATCAATAATAATAATATTATTATATTACTTCTATCGAACACACATGTACCTTAGTTTTATAAGTTTTAGCAGTGAAATTTGTAGTGTTTGGTAACGCATCCAAACCGAATGCGATGTTAAATTCTGCATATTTTGCCCCCTAGTGTTAAATAATTGGAAAGAGAAGGTTGTGTTAAAAAAACTTATTCTGGTTTACAGACCATTCTTTTATTGTACTCCTGGCATGGGCTGGTCAGCAAACTCTCCTTCAGTGGAATCACTCCTTTCGGGCTCTGGTCAATTTTTTTATCGTAAAATTTAATCTCATCTTCTAAGAGGACAACCCATGTTGCCTTCCAGGAACTGAACACGGTTCTCTGTGAAGGGGAGGAAAAAGACAAGACACATTATAAAACACAGTAATAATGATAATATTAACAATAATCATAATCCTTGTATTTGGTACAGATTCTTATCACGTCTTTGAGTCACCTTAAAGGGTTTCACAGGAATTATAATAATAATAATAATAATAATCCTTGCATTTGATATAGTGCTTTTTCACGTCTTCTCGAATTACGGTGAAATCGAGAGAGTATGTATTTTGTGGGTGAAACACGGCAGCCAATTGCGCAAAGCAAGTCCCACAAGCAGCCTTGGAGTGAGTGATCAATTTTATTTGAGGGATTTGTTGGCCAAGACATCGGAAGAGAGAAACTCCCTTCCCACGGGATCTGCAGTAGCAGTCATAGCACAAATACAGTGTGTTTTACAGTGCCTTGGCTTCTTGTTTGACCCTCAACTACCCTTTCTACCCCACATCCGCTCTGCCTTACCCCACCTCCGCAACATCGCCTGGCTCCGCCACTGTCTCACACTGTAGGCCGCCGAGACCTTCATACACGTATTCATAACATCCAGGCCTAACTGTGCAAAGTCCCTACTTGTTGGCCTCCCCAGCTCCTCCCTCCACAGGCTGCAGATCATCCAGAACTCTGCAGCCTATGTTCTCTCCTGTACCAGACTCCGTGACCCTATTACCCCCATCTTTGCCCGACTCCACTGGCTTCCCATCACACAGAGGATACAGTTAAAGATCCTGGTCCTCACCTTCAAAGCCCTCCATGGCCTTGCTCCCCTCTGCGACCCTCTAAGCCCCTACCAACCTGACTGTAGGACCATAGAAATGCACAGTAAAGAAGGAGGCCATTGTACTTATTGTCCTGGACCGACTCTCTGAAAAAAGGATCGGTTTAGTGGTTCGAGTCGTCTCACCGAGATCACTCCATTCAATGATAATGGGCAACCACTTTTCTATGTTGTGGTGACCAACATAGTCGAGCTGAGCCGCAGATTCCCCCAGATCACTGCAAAGCTTGAGTTCAAGTTCTAAGGTTCTGAGCTCAGAGGATTTGTCAAAACATCTTAATATCCTGGTTCCCTTGTCTACAGGTGCCTCATGCTCTTAGGACATGGGTGAGACTCATGTAAACTCGTGAATTTACTTAGCAATGGGAGGAAAGACTGAATCACACCGTGTCACATTTGCTATGAACCACGTTTCTCTTTAACCTCTCAAAAGATCCTGTAGGGCTTGCTCTGCTTCATGCTCCATTTGCCCCCACACCCACACCATCATCTTCAAACATGCTTCAAACCACTTCAAAGCCGCTCTCTGTTACTCTGCTTTCCTCCCTCCCAACTCAAAAAATATGAAAAACCTTTGCTCTTCAACTGCATCTTCAGTCATTACCCACCCACTCATTCCCCTCATTTGGAGTTTACCGCATAAAGGAGTTTATGTATTGATACGTAAACCTGTTTGGGCTCCCTCAACTCTCTCCGTGAAGCGCTTTGAGACATTCTTGGTAAGAGAATGGTAAGGGTGGTAAGAGGGGCGATAAGCCCAAACAATATAATTTAACTTGCCTGCTTGTCCTCTCTACTGAGGAAAGTGAATTACATGGACGGAGACCATGAAAGCAGAGAAACTGAGTAAAAACTCACTCTAGGAATGTGCACAATTGCTCGGTCCATCCCTTCTCAAGCTACAAAACTGAAAATATCTCCACAAGCTCATGGTGTAAAGTGTCCAGGAAGTTTAGTTCAGGTCAGGACACTGGAGTCATTTAGAAATCATCTTGACACTGCGATGGGAGGGGCGGGGATGGTGGTGTAGGGTGGGTGTTCTGGAAGGTTGAGACCAGATTACGATGAGAAACAATCTTGTGATCATGGGAAGCGACACCCAGAGCCAAACAACGTCAACAACTTGCATTTATATAGCACCCTTCACGCTGGGTAGGGTTCTGGAGTGCTTCATAGTGGCGGAGTCTGACAAATCAATTCCTCCTATTCCGCTCCCGAGGCAAGATAAGAAAATTCAGAAACATGTGGCATACAGGGAGTTCCGAGATTGGCTGGAAGTCGTCCTCCAAAGAGTGAACAAAATGGTACATAAAAGTCAGGATTTTAGTGTAAGTGTACAGGACTGTAACTTCTTGTTTGTTAGCTGCAGCATTACGCATCCAAATGTCAATCACAGTTCCTATTATTAGTTCCTTTCTGACTCATGTGCATTAAATGGAAACATTTTGATGGTGCAAGTTTCAGTCGTATGCACCTAATGAACAACAAATTAATTTAATTTGCGCCCAAGGAGGCCTGGAAGCAGATTTACTGACAATGTGACAATAACAATCCTTGCATTTTACATAACACCTTTGGTAAGCAGCCACAAAGCCAGGATATTTGTTGAGATTTCTCTCAACACAGCACCCGGACATGGGATTCACTCACAGTCCATTTACACTCCACACACCTCATTTCTTCCACCTCAATGCTCTCACTCACTTTGATGCATTTATTTTAATCCCAGATTTTTTTATATATCACAGAGGAGTACAAAGAAGTCCAAGACATTTCATTGTCTGGATCGACTGGAACTGTCAGCAGTTCACAAGGGGTTAGGAATTCATGTTTCAAGAAAAGATGTCTCAGTAAATGAAACACTGAAGGTCTCACACTCTCTCAATCCGACATTTAAGGAGAAGCCAGGTTGCTCTTCCTAGTCTGGGGCCTGGCTTGGTAGAGTGATAGTTGATAGTAATAATCTTTCCATTTGATATACCGCCATTATCACATCATTGAGACATCTCAAGATGCTTCACAAAATATATTGTAAAGTGAATTTACTATATACTTTGTGGGCGAAACACATCAGCCAATTGCGCAGAGCAGTGTCCCACAAACAGCGGTGGAGTGATTGAACAATTTTATTTGGGGGATTGTTGGCCAGGACACCAGGAGAAATTCCTTTCTCTTTTTGAATAGCGCACCTGAACAGGCACAGACATGATCCCGGTTTAACCGAAAAATCAGCACACCCCAGCAATGCATTGAAATGTCATTTAAGACTATCATCTAACCTTCTGACTCAGAGGTGAGAGTGCTATCACTGCGACAGGCTGACACACAAAGCCAACTTTCTAGGCTGATTATCCAACGCAATGTTGGGGGAGCATTGCATTTTTGGTAGTGCCATCCTTGAGATATCAAAGCAAGGTCCCATCTGCCAGTTCAGGTAGATGTCAAAGATCCCATGGCACTACTTGAAAAAAAGAAGGGAGTTTCTCCCGGTGTCCTGACTGATAATTCCCGCTCCTTCCCCCTCCACACCCCCCAGATGAAACTGGTCATTCACTTCATGGCTGTTTGCGGGACATTGCTGTGCACAAATCGACTGCCGGGTGTGCCCACAAAATAAGCAGTGACTACACCCCACAGAAATATCAGAACCACTCCCAGATTTCTCAAAGGCCACAGCTGCTGAAATAAACCCCCTATAGGCACTATGTCAGGAGCAAAAGACAGAGCTGGATTGAGAGAAATGAGGAAGCAGTGGCAAATTCACACCGCAGTGAATAAGGCTCCCAAACCTCATTACCCAGCCTGAATCATGAAGGGGTACTGAAGAATGACTTGCACCCATGCTGTGTTGTAACTACAATAGTGCAAATGTGCAGTCATGCCAGACACCATAATAATAATCTTTGTATTTGATATAGCGCCTCATCACGTCATTGAAACGTCTCAAACGGCTTCACAGAATTTCTTCTAAAGTGGATTGACTGTGTATTTTGTGGGTGAAACTCGGCAGCCAATTGCCGTTGGCTGAGTGACCACATCTTCTTTTTTGGGAGGGATTATTACCCCTGGAAAGCAATCCGTCAATCGAATAACAACTGGGTTCCTACATACTGCTACATAAACAGAGGCATGTGCTGTAAGGAAACTTGCCTAAGGTTTCGCCACGTCCGGGAATTGAACCTAGATCCTTCGGATGTCAGGTGAGCGAGCTAAACTACTACGCTACGGGACTATGATGTTATGATGCTGCTGATCTCAGCAAGGTTACAATAACAACAACAAACATACAAATTACATTTGTATAGCATCTTTCACATCGGGAGGACATCCCAAGGATCTGTACAGTCAAGGGTTTGCACCCGAGTTGCGGGGTGGGATAATAATAATCCTTGCATTTGATATACCGCTTTTCACGTCGGGAGGATGTCCCAAAGCGTTTAACATAACACACTGTAAAGTGAATTGACTGTATATTTGTGGGAGAACGCGGCAGCCAATTGCGCACAGCAATGTCCCACAAACAGTTGTAGATTGAAAATGACCAATTGATTATTGTTACTTGGAGGTGCCGTCGTTTTGGATGAGGCATTAAACTGAGGTCTTGTCTGTGTCTGATCAAGTGGACTATTCGAAAAAAGAAGGAAGTTTCTCCCGGTGTCCTGGCTAACAATAACCCAAATAAAACTGATCATTGGCTTTAAGGCTGTTTGTGCAAATTGGCTGCTCACAAAATACACAACCACAGCACTTTACAGTATGTTCTGCGAAGCGCTTTGGTACGTCCTCCTTGGTAACTAATGTAGAACCACATAATCAACTTGATCGAATTCAAGATCCTCGTCCTCACTTTCAAGGCCATCCATGGCCTTGCCCCCTCCTACTTCTCTGACCTGCTGACTCCCTACCAACCTGCCCGCTCCCTCCGTTCAGCGGGCTCTGGCCTGCTCCATGTCTCCCGCCCGACCTGCCCTAACATCGGTGGCCAGGCTTTCAGCCTCTCTGCCCCCACACTCTGGAACTCCATCTCACAGTCACTTCGCCTCGCTTACTCCCTTGCCTCCTTCAAGGCCGGTCTCCAGACCCTTCGCTTCGATTGTGCTTTCGATCACTCTCCCACCTCTCTGCCTTCCCTCACCCCTATCCCACCTCTCCCCCCTGCTCGAGTCCTGACCCGACTGTCCAGCGCCTTGGGACGTCCTCCCGACGTGAAAGGCGCTCTATAAATGTA